CTCGTGGATTCATGTTCCTATTATACACACATGCATTTCCAAACATTTGGACTACCTATGTTGCAAATGTATTATCTTTTCAATTTACACACGGCATCTAATGCACGTCTGTCCGTCCTGGGAGAGGGATCCCTCCTCTGTTGCTCTCCCTGAGGTTTCTACCATTTTTTTCCCTTTAAACTGTGGCTTTTCTCTGGAAGTTTTTCCTTGTACGATGTGAGGGTCTAAGGATAGAGGGTGTCGTTTTTTTCTCATACTGATACTCTGAACAATCTGTGCTGTTGTATTTGCTGTAAAGTGTCTCTACTGTAGGCTATTTTTATTATATGCACAGCACTTTGGCTCGACCAAAAATCGTTTATAAATGTGCTATATAAATAAAACTTGATTTGATTTGATTTGATTTGAAAGCTCACCCCATAGGTAAATCCTTGATTATAAATGAAATCAGCTGATTAGGTGGATGGGGGCGGGTTCAAAAGCGAGTGGAAGCCATCTTGGACAGTTGGTTGACAAGCCTCTTTCGTAGTCAGCTAAAAAATTGAGAACACCTTACAAACACCGCATAGAGAACCGGTAATTTCAGCTAACTGCATGTACATCTAAACTATTCCTACCTTTGCATAGTTCTTTACCCTATTTCTCATGTTTTGGTGACTTGTACATTTGGCGTTTACTGTAAATGTTATTTCACCTGTTTGTTAGCTTGCTAGCCGACCTAGCACGGAAAACGAGTCGGCTTAGCTAACTACCTGGCTGAGATTAGTAAATGGTGGGTATCTCATTTTGTCAAATAGTACTCTTTGGAAATAGTGTCAAGTGTTATTTCGAATGGTGTTATAACAATCTGACAGTTACAAACAATGCTCTGAATCCAGTATTGTAACGTCGTTAACCGAACCAGCAAAACATTAGCACGAAGCTAAAGCTTCGTTTGCTAGTTAGCCAGAAGTCCACGGCTAGCAGAAGGCTAACGTTAGCATCTAGTTGGTTGTATTTAACAGACAAACTGCTCCTCGGCGGTGTTCAGATATGTACCCTCTTAAGACTTTCAGGTTACAGCGTTGGGGTTACTTTACAGTTAACCTAATGTTGGGATTGACCTCGAAATTCAATGTTTTCATATAAGCAAGCAAAGGTTAACTAAATAACATTACGAATCACCGCTGTGTCGGTCAACTTTTGACATGTAGGCCGGCCAGTTATTCAGCTGAATAATGATTTGATATGTCTCCATACCCTCCAAATACAGTATATTGTAATTTCCGCTTATCATCATGGAACTGTTTTGTCGGATAAGATGTTTTTAACACTCTCTGTCCCGTATGTTTCAGGGTTGGAGAAACCTGATAAAGGACGCAGCGGCTCTGTGAAGCTAAACAAGATGGCTAGCTGAACAGTCTGCCAGTACTTGAAAGCTAGATCAGCCCTCCTGGTGTATGGTTTTCCATATGGCAATGGCAGATAATTCCATCTATGCTAAATCCTAATTAAAAAATAAGAAGAGGAATTTGTTATTTTTTACACTTGACGTCCCACACACGGCAGTACTGTTGAGGAACCTGCTGAGACAAACACGATTTGAACAATTTACATTTGGATAATTATTGAAGTCTCAAGAGTGAAGGACAATCTTAAGTATTGAGTGGTCCCAGCAGAGCGGACTCGCTGCATCTAGAGACTGATATATATCTCATTGCCACTGGAAGAAGAAAGCATAGCAAACATGAGTACCGCCAGGACAGAGAACCCAATGATTTTGGGCTTGTCCAACCAGAATGGACAGCTCCGAGGTTCAGTGAAGACTGCTGGAGCGCCAGGTGGAGG